ATATATATATATATATATATATATTTTTTTTTTACCATGTATAAAATAATTATAAATATATCAATGCAGATAAACAAATAAAATACCACAACTTGTTATATTTTAGACATTTTGTTTTATTTTACTGCAATAAAAGAAGGTAATTGTAATGCAAATATTTAATTCTTTGTATCAGGTGTTTTATTTTGACTGTTTTTATTAAAAAATATATATATATTTCAAATGTACATTATGATTTAATTAATTATTAGTTTTCACAAACTCAGGAAACCCTGCTCTAAATCTCTGTCTTTGTAAATTACAAGAAAGAATATATATTTCTCATAAAACAATTTCACAAAGTCAACATGAAATCAAAATCCACCACATTTAAAAAAAAAAAATTTAATTCATCAGTGAATATGATTCTAGATCAGCCATTCCCTTATTGTCAGTTTTTCTACAATACTTACTTGAAGTCCTTCTGAGATTTTAAGTCAATATTTCAATATTTGAACAACAGATGTGCATGTCCTCGGTTCTCTGATTTCAGTTTATGGTTAATAACATGCCACATTTGTGCTGCTGTAGAAAAGGTATAACATATTAAATAGCAGGTAAACAAATTATTTTTTTAAATAAGTCTTATATTTTGACCATTTCTATTTAAAAAAATATTTATTTTCATTTGACATTTTTATGAACTAATGAATTATCTTTCACAAACTCCGGAAACGCTGCTCTGAATGTCTGTCTCTGTAAATCTTGCATCAAAATGTAAAACTTTCTCCATCAAGCTTTTCAACCATTCTCATACAGAACGGCCACTTTTCGCTCTACAATCCGGTTCTGAAGCACGGAATCAGTTAGTTAAGGAAAAAGCGGTTCTGGTTTGAGTCTCACCATCCACGCTGTCACAAAATCACCCATCCATGTTCCTACAGCAGCCATCTTCATAAAGCTCTCGTTCCTGATGCCCATGTACTCCGTCACCATGTGAGGCCTGTAGAGACACAGAGACGCTTTGTCAGCGAGCCAGAGACGTGTACCGCTGAAATACCATGCTTTTCTTAACATCTCTCAACATTTCCCATGAAAAAAACTGGGTTTTTGGACATGCACCATTAAATTACCATGTTTTTTGGACATATCACATGGTATTACCATGTTTGTCTTACCTTGTTTTTTGGACATGGACCATTAAAATACCTTGTTTTTTAACATTAACCATGGTATTACCATGTTTTTAGACATGTCCCATGAACGTTTACCATGGTAATACCATGGTTGTTGAATATTTCTCATGTTTTTTACAATGTTTTTGGACATGTACCATTAAATTATCATGTTTTTTGGACATATCACATGGTATTACCATGTTTATCTTATATTTGCCCACTGTAATACCAAAATTATTTTTTACATTTTCCTTTTTTTTTTAACGTTTTTTTTTTTACCATGTTTTTTGGACATGGACCATTAAAATACCCTGTTTTTTTTTTACATGTACCATGGTATTACCATGCTTTTAGACATGTCCCATGGTAATACTATGTTTTTTAACTTTTACCATGGTAATACCATGGTTGTTGAATATTTCTCATGTTTATACAATGTTTTTGAACATGTACCACAGTATTACCATGATTGGGGACATGTCCTATGTTTCTTTTTTTAACATTTACCTTGGTAATACCGTGTTTTTGAACATTACACATGTTAATACCACGTTTAGACATGAACCACTGAATTACTATGTTTTTTGGAAATGTATCCTAAAATACCACATTGTTTGGACATGTACCACGGTATTACCATGTTTGTGGACATGTCCCATAGTAATATGTTTTTTTCCCCTAACATTTACCATGCCATGTTTTGGGCATGTACCATTGAAAAAACATGTTTTTACACATGTAGCTCTGAAATACCAAAAAAACAAAAAACAAAACATGGTATTACAATGGGCAAATATAAGATAAACATAGCAATACCATGTGATATGTCCAAAAAACATGATAATTTAATGGTACATGTCCAAAAACATTGTAAAAAACATGAGAAATATTCAACAACCATGGTATTACCATGGTAAACGTTCATGGGACATGTCTAAAAACATGGTAATACCATGGTTAATGTTAAAAAACAAGGTATTTTAATGGTCCATGTCCAAAAAACATGGTAAAAAAAAAAACTTAAAAAAAAAAAGGAAAATGTAAAAAATAATTTTGGTATTACAGTGGGCAAATATAAGATAAACATGGTAATACCATGTGATATGTCCAAAAAACATGATAATTTAATGGTACATGTCCAAAAACATTGTAAAAAACATGAGAAATATTCAACAACCATGGTATTACCATGGTAAA